TCCAAACAGGCAAAAATGCCAGTCCTTGTGCAACCTATATTCTACATAATAAGGAAGGCAAAGAGAAGGTGTGGATAATTCATGTAAAATAATTTGCATAGGTTTTCTAGAAACAGAATTCTCGATCTGACTGGTAAAATTTTTCATGAGTCTATCTCTACCTTCTGACACACTTTTCCATCCTGCAAAGCACCTCTAGTATGTCCTGCACTCACAGTTTATTTATGCTTCAGAATTGTAAATATACTAGAAACCATCTGATCTAAAATTCTCATTTTATAGATGTGAAAATTAGGACCTCCTCCAATTAAATGAAGTCGGTTTAAGGCTTCAGAGTGAGTGGCTGTGTTTGGTAAATATGTGATTACCTATAACAGATTTCCCTGGAAAACTGGGTAAAAGGGAGTAAAATAATTCAGCGACTTCCTGTCTCACTCTAATACAGGATGGTGTCACTCTTGAGTCTTCTAATGTCTATTTGTAACGTATTTCTATGTAGAAGACATAGTGCTTAGAAATGAATTTTGTACAAGCAACACTAAACCATATAGCAGTGGCTTAAGGAAGACAGGCATACATTTCTCTGTCATGTGAAATGAGTGTGGAGACAGGCAGGTCAGGGGTGGCGTGGTGGCTCTGCAATGTTTAAGACACAGAACCTGGCAGTTCACCTCTCCACCAGCCCTGTCCTCATGTCCACATTGGCTCCTCTAGCCATCATATCTGTATTCTAGACAGTAGGGTAGTGGAAAGGGAGAGTGGGGTGAAGGATTGTGCCACTGTACTGGTATGAGTCAGGGTAGATCAGCGAAGCAGATCCACGAGGAGGAAAATAGACTAAGTGATTTGTTTTAGGGACTTCATCTTCCACATCTGGTTAAATTGTGCATATTCTGCTGTGTTATGTATGTTATGTATATGTAATTATATATATTCTGGTTCTGCATATGGTACTAGGCCTGAAGAGAGCAGGACAGGCTGTCTTCACGGCCAGTGTTATAAGTCAATGTGGCTAGGCTGCAGTCCCCAGTCATTCAGCCAAACTCTAATTTAGATGTTGCTGTGAAAATATTTTGCAGGTATAATTAAAGTCTCTAATCAGTTTAAGGAAGGCTATCCTAGATGATCTGTGTGGGCCTGATTCAATCACTTGAAAGGCCTTAGGAGTAGAACTGAGGCTTTCTAGAAGAAGAAGAAATTCTACTTAACAGCAGCTTCAGCTCATGCCTGAAAGTCCCAGTCTGTCTTTCCTGACAGCCTGCCCTACAGATACCAGATTCACCTCACCAACCCTGACAAGCACATAAGCCTATTCTCATATATCTGTATATATCTATATATGTATAAGGAATTGAAGCACAGATAGTAAAGCAAATTGGGCATATATAGATATATACAGATATATACACCCAGTTAACCCTCCATGTCGAAAATATTGGGAGAAAAATGAATGGTTGCATCTACTGAACATATACAGACTTTTATTTCTTGTCATTCCCTAAACAATATAGTATAACAACTATTTACATAGCATTTACATCGTATTAGGTATATAAGTAATCTAGATATTATTTAAAGTATACAGAAGAATGTGCATAGGTTATATGCAAATCCTACTCCATTTTTTATAAGGGACTTGAGCATGGGTGGACTTTGGTATCCAGGAGGCATCCTGGAACCAATCCCCCATGGGTACTGAGAGATAATGTTGTGTGTGTCCCCTACTGGTTGTTTCTCTGGAGAAACCCTAAATGACTGAGAGAGAATAATGATATTCTGGAACCCATGAAGACAAAGACACAGCAGAACCTGCGTCAGTCTCTACCTCCAAGCCTCCAACTTTGGTGATGCTGGTGACCTGTAGGGGAAATTGTTGCTGTCGGTCATGGAGCTGACAGGTACCTTGTCCAGGAGATGGAGAAACTAAAGGAGAAGATTCAACAGGAGTTGCTGCCAACCTGTCCTCTCTCTCATGCCGACAAAGTGAGCCAGCAGATCTGTAATAAGATTCATGAGCTGTAACAGCACCTGACTGTACACCAACCCTCCTAGCATAAACATGGTTGCTGCTTCGCCTCTACCTTCTAAGATGGTGCAAATTTCTCTTGTGGCCCATGCTAGCTAAAAGCCACATAGGGAACATAATTCTGGGAAGTATCATTTCACTTTAGTCAAGTTGACATAGTAAAAACCCACCACAGCCAGCATCTTTGGAGAGGTTTCTTGGATCTTCCACATGACACTTCTATAGCTCATTAGCCTGAACTTAGTCACATAAACACACCTGGCTGCAAGGCTAAACACAACGGTGTTCTTCTAAAGAAGGTGAATATGGGTCTTGGATAAGATAACCAGGCCTCTTTGCCACAGTATTACTACTTATAGAACCCAGTTCCTACCTTCTAGAGCCTAATTTTTTAGAAGGAGAAATAAGATACTGTATAAACTTGTATTGAGCTCCGAGTTTTCAGCTAACTAGAAATACTTCACCTTTAGTTTGTTGGAAAACTTCATGGTGTGTTTTTATGTTTAAAGAACTTTTCATATATGAAAGTGTTATCCTCAGGACAGCAGTGAACCAGTGTAAGCGGGCGATTCTTTACCCTAGATGTCAGAGTGTGTTTTATATGGATTAGCGGTGAGACTTTTTAAAGACCTTTCGAGGAGCTGTTTTCTTTCACTGCAAGAAGAAAATGCAGGGTTGGTGACCAGGGCCCTCCCTTATCCATGGAAAGACTTGGGGGATCTCCTTTAATACAATGAAAAGGAAACTAATTTATAGCATGGATTTACACAGATAAAACAGATTTTATTTAAATACTCCTTGGTACAAATTCAGCTAGATCAACTCCTGCTCATATTTATGCAGTAATAACATTTAATGTTTACTGAGCTTTACCACAGGCCAGGCACTAGTCTAAGCAATTTATGTAGATTACCACCTTTAATTTCACACAAATGCCATGTGGTATTTACTGTTCCTGTCCCAGGCCCTTAAGGGGGGTCATTGGACACCAGTGGGTCCTTTTCCATTCACACCAATAGAACAAGACCAGTTTCCATAAAGCAGAGCAGAAACTTTATTTGTTGATCAAGCAATGGAGAAGGGGAGCTCAAGTTCAAAGCACCTTCCTAGGGGGTGTGGTGAAGGGGGACTTTTAAGATCCCTTAGGGCATGAAGGTGGAGACTGTGGGTGGAGATTTCTGGAAAGATGTGGGGCCTTCGAGGGAGAACTGTAGTGTGCTTAGTCTTTCTTTTGCACCAGACCATGTATGTGCCTGCAAAGTGCATCTCCTCCCCCACTTCCATCCCCTGCAGAGATTTTATCATGTGAGGCGAAGATTCAGGTAGGGGTAGCACTGGTGAGCTCATCTTTTCATTTGACTTATTCATGGTTACTGGCATTCAGCCTGCCCTTGCTTTCTGTAAGCAAGTACAGCTGCCAGCACAGGTTAATTTCAAAGGTTATGGGGCTCTTTAAAAGAATTGAGGTCATGTTGTGGTGATTTGCTGTTATTCACATTGGATAGATAAGGAATTAAAGCACAGATAGTAAAGCAAATTGAGCAAGATCACATGAACAGCCGGGATGAACTCAGGACATGGGCTCCAGCACCTTTCTCTGGCATCTCCCTGGTATACTCCCAGTGCCTGACTGGTCCCTGAAGAGGCATGTTCGGTACCCTCTCTTTACTAGAGCAGGATAGTGAATACAAGGGCAAAGTGCTTCAACAATAAGGAATTAAACCAAAGCGTTTCTACTTAGCTCATAGATTACTGGAAAGTTCAGTTAATAAAAGTCTCATTCTAGGATCATTCTGATTAAATGCAATTAAACAAGTAACTTCTCACTATACTGGAATCAACCCTAAAAGGAAAACTTGAAGACTGGAAGGGAGAGGATAGGGAAGGAGGGACAGAGGTGGGTGGCTTAGCACCACTGTTCAGGCCTCTCTTTGGTGCTGGGCAAGCTTCCTTCCACACCTATTAGAGCAGAGTCTTAGCTAAATGCTGCCAGGGCAGATGCTGTTTGTTCCTCTCTAGCTCCCAGGGCGCCTATGGGGGCTTTGCAAATCACAGAAGCTCAATTCAGTTTCAGGAAGGAGTAACTGGAAGAAGGGGCTTGGGAGCAATGTATCAGTTTAGAACCTTCCAGACTGGTACAATGTATTCCATTTAATACTGAAGGTAAGACTCCAAGGAATGGAATTTGTTTTTTCCCTGTGTCACCGGGATCCACTGGCAGGAACCCATCTGTGGCACCATAACTAGCCTGTTGTCTTTGGAGATTTGGTGGAGGATTTGACACAGGGACCACCCAACTGTGCTTTTTATGCAGACAGCCAGCCCTGAGGCCCCTCCTCAGCAGGTAATCAGATGGCAGAGGAAGTGATTTTTCATGGATCTTAAATTTGCTTCATACCTCTTTTTTTGCCATATGGCTGACAGGCAAAACCTTGGACAGGCTGAGTGTTGCAGAAAATATGAAATGAACCTGAAGCCAGTGAATCCGTGGAGGATTGTTTTTCTTCTTTCCGGCATGTGATAACAAAAGGGTGCCTGCATAACTAACAGCCCGCATTCACCCCTTGTCTCAAAATCTTCTTGGCTCCCATTTTTGTTTTTTCAACTTGGAAATAGAATATATGAAAGACAGACTGAACAGTGGCAACCAAAACCAGAAGGCTGGAGACATTTCTGCCATTCACAGAATTTATGAAAATCCCCTGTCTGGAAGGCTCTTGGAGAGCTCAAAATGCTCAGCGCGGCTGGTGAGTTCCCCGCAGCAGCTGGAAGTGGAGCTATAAATAGAGCGGGGCGGGAAGCGCCCTCCGGAGGGGGAGCGGGCGGGAGATTCCCGGCTCTCCTCTCCTCCGCCGCAGCGCGTTCTGGGACGGGGGAAGCCGGCTGGCGGGCGCGCGGCCTTAACCCGTGCGACGCCGGGCAGCTCCTGCGGCAGCCGGGGAGGGCGGGATGGAGACACGCTGGGAATGGGAATCCAGGCACGTTTCTAACCGTGTACTGGAACAATACATAGTCTGCGATTCTCTTTCTCCCTCTTTTCTCCCTCCGGTTAACACGTGAAATTCGGCCTTAGAAAACACACGCGCGCGCGCGCACACACACACACACACACACACGATGGAATTTGTTCCATATCTTTTTTTTTTTTTTTTAAAACCTTCGAGAGGCATAAATCCAAACCTAAAATTAAAAACATCCCCAAATTTGGTTTTGGGAATCATGTTGGCTTTTCCTCTTCAGCGGCATTCCTTCCCCAGTGCTGCATAAGGACTGCTACTTTCTCGAGGAGGGAAGTATCAAAAGGAAACGGTGTGTGTGTGCGCGCGCGCGCGTTTATTTTTGGCGCATGCACACCCCTCGGTAGCCTCAAGGTCGGCGACACCCTGAGCATTCGGGCCCCCGCCTACAGGGCTTGTTCCTGCCAGCCAAGGACTCGAGAAGGTGGGAGTCCCCAGTCTCGGCGGGGCGCCTGGGACTCGGTTCAGTGTTTAGCACAGTCAGTACCGAAGCAGGGGCAGCCAGGTGGGAGCTGAGCGCCCCAAAGGTGGACCCCAATCAGCAGCGAGTGGGCAGCGGGGACCTGACTCGCCGGCGCCTCGGGGCTCCCCGGCCGGCTCTCTGCGCCCTGAAGCTGGGTATCTGGGGGCGCTCTCCCGGGCCGCAAGCAGGCACGGAATTTGACGCCCGGAGAGGCAGCTGGTCCTGCTTAGGACTCCTGATTCTCCTCAGATGGAAACAGTTTCTCCCGGTGAACCTGCCCGAATTCCCAGTGGACTCGCACTTCGGCTTTGCCCACTGGCGCATTTAACCAAGGCCGCATTTACCGCTTTGAGGCAAATTTGAGCTTCAAATGGAGCGAGACTCCTGGTTGCAGAACAAGGTAAGGTCGCGACTAAGGTGACATTGACTAGGGCCACAGATTTAATGGGGACCAGCCTCCCCCAGGCAAGATGCTGAAGTGAAGTTTGCCTGAGCTTTCACTCCTCCCCTCCCTCTTGCTTACTTTTCTCCAGCACCCACTCATACCTTAAAAAGAAACATTCTCCTGGGTGGGGGACTCCCTTAGGCTATATTCAGCACTATAGCGTTCTGCACTAGAGGCCATGCCACAGAGCGACCTGAAGTTCCCCATCCTTCGTTCCATCTTTCCCCTCTTGTCCTCTTTCTTGGCTCTCCTCTTTCTTTATCCAATCTTTTATTTATTTTCCCATCCCCCTTTCTAACTTCTCTTTCTTTTCTATGAAAATATGAACCAAATGAAGGGAGAGAGGGCAGAAGTTTGTGATTTTTGTGTGTAATGTCATACTGAGGTTATGGGGTATATGGATTGATGGTTTATGAGTTATTTATTCATTAGGTTTTGTTGAGCACCTACTCTGTGCTGCTGTTCAACTTCTTCAGGTTGGGGGTGACCAGACTGTTTTCTAGAAAATAAATGGCCCGAGAACTTAGTCCCACCTCTTCTCTACTTCCTTCTCTCGGGTGTGGGAATGAGCATCTGCAAGACCAAGGGATGCAGAGCTTGCAGGGAAGAAGGAAGCTCATTAGGTTCAGGTGGCTTGCTGCCTTTATGCCCTCAAGCCATGGAGTAGCAATAACAAAAATCTTGCATTAATAATAATAATAACACATTTATCTAACACTTGCTGTGTTTGTGGTATTGTAAGAACTTTACAAATATTAACTCATTTAAACCTCATAACTACCCCACGGAGTAAGGACTACTGTTATGTCTTTTTTACAGATGGGACAACTCAGAAACAGATGATTAAGTAATTTATTCATAATCAGACAGTAAGTGGGAGAGCCAAGATTGAAGCTCAGCATCTGAATCTAGAACAGAGTTCTTCATACATTACGTATCTCTGTCACTCACATATTCATCCATCCAGTCTGTGTCAGGTGCTGTTCTAGGAGATGCAACAGTAGACAAGGCAAACAAGATCCTTGGAGCTTGTATTTCAGTTGAGGGACACAGACTATGTATCAATAAACAAACTAGATAATTTCAGGCAGTGGTAGATACCATAAAGAAAAGAGAATATGGCCAGGTGTAGTGGCTCACGCCTGTAATCGCAGCACTTTGGGAGGCTGAGACAGATCAGGAGGTCAGGAGATCGAGACCATCCTGGCCAAAATGGTGAAACCCTGTCTCTACTAAAATACAAAAAGTTAGCTGGGCGTGGTGGTACATGTCTGTAATCCCAGCTACTTGGGAGGCTGAGGCAGGGGAATTGCTTGAACCTGGTAGGTGGAGATGGTGCCAGTGCACTCCAGCCTGGTGACAGAGCAAGAGTCTGTCTCAAAAAAGGAAAGAAAAAGAGAACAGAGTAATGTACTAGAGTGGCTGTTTTCACATGGTGAGTGGACAGTGAAGTTCTCTTGGTTGGTAGTGACCTGAAGAATTTAGAAGAAAGACAAATAGCCAGTGAACATATGAAGTGATGGCTGTTACCTTTAGTAATCATGGAAATGCACATTAAGTCCACATTGAGATATTCTTTTATATGCATTTGGCTGGCCCAAAATTAAAAGATTGGCAGTATCAAGTGGTTGAATAAGATGTGGGTCCAAAGGATGTCCGAGCATTGCTGGTGGGAGTATGAATTGGTACAAAGACTTTGGAAAACAGTGTGATATTATATCCTGATTTGAACATTTGAACATATGTGAATGAATAGTTCAACTTGCTTGTTAGGTGTATACCTGTGGGAAACTTTTTACATACTCAATGGAAGACATGCATGTGAATATGCTTAACAGCCTGGTTTCCAATAATGAAAGCCTGGAGGGACAACCAAGGCCTAGCACCTTGTGCTAGTGATGAATAGTGTAGTATTGTTGTGCAAAAGAATATTATACAGCAGTCAAAGATGAATAAACAAAATGGTATAACAATATGATTGGCTTTTAGCAATATAATATTAAGTGAAAATTAAGTCTAAAATATTACATATAGCATAATAAAAACTACTAAAATAAAAAACCAACTAGGTAGGGGTGTGTGTGTGTGTGTGTGTGTGTGTGCGTGCACAATGACGTTATATAACTGGGAAAGCTAGAGAATGATAAACATGAAATTTGTGATTTTGTAATTATGGTTACCTGAAATGGAGGAGAAACAGGGGTACCGTATGGTTAGAGGCAAGTCAGTGGCTGTGTTTCAGGAGATTGCAATGCAGTTTTGGCTGGTAGGACAAGTGCTTATTACGTTATTAAAAATAACTAGTCAATAACAAAGTATGGCAGGGCGTGCATGGCCTAATGATGAGAGTGTATGGTGGGCTATGTAATAAGATTGAGTCAGTTCTACGTACTGTGATCCTAAGTGGAAACAGGAAAGAAAGGAACGTAGACACTTTTGTCAGGGAGAGGGTTCTACTAGGAGAAAGAAGTTTGGTGTTTTTAAGGAAGAGAAAAGCAGCCTAGAGTGACACAGTGGGTCAGCAGATTAGAGAGGTGGACTGGGACCAGATTCTGCAGGGCTTTCCAGGTCAAGGTAAAGTTTGGTGGAAAAGTTTTAAGCAGTGAAGTGATGTGATTGGGTTTGAGATTTTAAAAGAGCATTTGGAGCCGTGTGGAGACTGGACTATCGGAGGGGCATTCGGGAGCCCCTGCAGTGGTATAGGAGAGAGCTGATGGCAGGACTGCAACTATGTTTCTGCAGGTTACTTACTGCGCAGGAGACCAGCTTGTGGGGGTCAAGTCTCTGAAATTCAGCCCTTGTTTCTCTTGCCAGCAAATGTCCCAGTGCCAGGCTGCGAAGGCCTGGAGGAAGGGCACATTTTTCGAATTGTGCAGAGAGCTCTGTAGGCCAGCAATAGCCTGCTGGTGGATCTGGGTGGTACACACAGATTTGAGAAGTGAGTAGATTCAGGACATATTTGAGGGCAGAATGGACAAGGCTTGCTGATAGATTAGATATAAGGATTATTAAAGGAAAGAAAGGAAACAAAAGTAACTCCTGGATTTTGATTTAACTGCAGAGATAGTAGTTTGCCTGAGCTTTCACTCCTCCCCTCCCTCTTGCTTACTTTTCTCCAGCACCCACTCATACCATAAAAAGAAACATTCTTTTGGGTGGGGGACTCCCTTAGGCTATATTCGGCATTGTTCAGCTCCAGAGGCCATGCCACAGAGCGACCTGAAGTTCCCCATCCTCCCTTCCATCTTCCATCCTTCCTGTGTACAAAGAAGAGAAAGAGCAGCGAAGATTCACATTCAAAGGAAAAAGTCATGTTTTGGACATATTATTTTTAAAATGCTATCAGACAGCCAAGTACAAATGTCAGATAGTGAGTTAGACATGACTGTGAAGCTTGAGGGAGATTTTAGAGCAAGAGTCTTAAATGTGGGAAGTATAAGCATATATATATATAGATGGTATAGTTCAATTTCTACTTAATTGTCATTGTCCAAGTGTGAATTCCTTTGGGGCAGAGAAATTTTTTTGTCTTGTTCCCCGCAGCAAGGTATAAGGAATAATAGGCCTTCAGTACATATTTGTTGAATAGATGACAGAAGGATGCATAAACAAGGGGAAGGGGAGGAACTAGCCCAGGTTTCTGATGCTGCTAGTGTCTGAAGGCTGGGGCTGTGTTGTTTTCAATTCCTCTTTGGGCTGAAGTAAGTCTAATGGTAGTGCCAGCCCTTTAGGAGACCCCAGAGCTATTCTGAGCAGCCAGAAATGGCAGGGACTAGAGAGTGAAGACACAGGATGGCCAGGAGAGCCCCTGAAAGTCAAGGAAGAGGAAAGAGTGTTGAGCCAGAAACAGGGTCACAACTAAGAATGTGGCTGATCTCATGGGTAATGGGAGACAGTGAAATCAGCAAGAGAAGATAGGACTGAAGCAGGTGAATGACAGGATCAAGGCAGTTGTTACAACTGGAGCCATGAGGTTCAGTTTAAAGGCCAGTGTATTGCAGACATTTTTGACAGTCACCAGATAACTAGTTCGGCACCAGCCAAAACACTCCCTACCAACCCTAGCCCCACAGAACTTCAGGCTTTGTGTTGTCCCTTGTGAAATCTCATTTAGGAAATTATTGCTAAGGCATTCCCATACCAGGTATCACATTCCATCGCCCTGCGATGAATATGCAGCACTTAGCCTGCATGTGGGTTTCCAATACCTCCACAATGCCCTCTTGGTACCGGGATTGGGCAGCTGGCCCTGCCCTGCTACATTTGGGCTTGGCATGGTTCTCCCATGCCACCACATCCCATTCTGTTGGGGACATTTATTTTCTCAGCCTCCACCCTCTCATTGCAGTTCACATCTCTTTACTTCTCTGTGTTCTTTCCTCAAATGGATACCTTTTGTCCCTTACTTAGTTGTGTACCTTATTGCCTGGCACAGTTCCTGACATACAATGTGTGAGCAGCAATTGTGAAAGGGTGGAAGGAAGGAAGGGAGTGAGGGAAAATCAAGTTTCTCTTTGCCTGGCTTTGAGGTGATCAACATGAGACCATCCTATTCTACCTTCACACTAATGATAAAGTCACAAGGACCTCCCTTTCTTCAGCTGAGTATGGCATTGCTTAACAGTGTAGGCTTCGGGATAAAATAGACCTGCAGTTCCATTCTGGCTGTACCATATGTGACTTGGTTAGGTCACAATCTCTTAGAGACTCAATTTCTTTATCTGTAAAATGTGGGTAATAACAAAACCTCCTGTATAGTGTAGTTGTGAGTTTTAAATAAGATAAGGATATGAAGTTTCTAGCGTGCCTGGCATATAAGAAGGGCACAGTGGAAACTCAGCTACTATTATTTTCCAAGGCATTTAATTGTCAATGCTTTCTTTGTCAACCAACTTCAAGTGATGCTTCCAATTCTTAGAATTCAGCCTCCTTATCCAGTGAGGCCAGTGCTCTGG